AGGGCCCTGGCCTTCCCCTGCACCCTGGGCGGGGCCAGCAGAAGTGGCTCTTCTAGGGGCAGGAGCATGGCTTGTGCAGCAGGTCTCACCTCTGCTCCCAGGCGGGAGGTGACACTGGCATGCCGCTCGACTCAGGGAATGAATGTCCCCGGGGCTCCCAGCCTGGCCAGTGTCATGACTGCACCCCCAACCCCAGACCACGGTGAAGGCAACCGGGGGGCATTTTCTAAAACCAGCCAGAAAAATATCCCTTCGGGTTAGAGAATGCCGAGAAATGCCCTTCAGTTCCTCGGCGTTGGTTCTGGTCGAGATAGCAGCCCCCACTGAACACGCCAGCAGGGACAGGACAGACACGGGAAAAAGAAACCTGTGACAGTGGAAACGATAATCTGTGGGTCTTAAACTATATAACGAATGACGTGCTTTTCTTCCCACTTCCCTGCAGTGTCACCTCCCTCTTCGACAACACCGAGTAAGTGTGTGGACGTGACTTCCGGGGGCAGCCGGGCAAGGAGAGAAGGTCCCACTGAACCCTGGCAGAGTGGCCCTCACACCCTGGCCACCTGCTTAGGGACCACAGATGGTCCGGGGACTGATGCAGGGGACTTGGTCAGCTCTGGGTGACAGCATTGGTGGTCAAGAGTTGAGACAAAGCCTCTTCCGGCATGCGTGCCTCCTCACTGGAATGGATGACCCTCCCTCTCTCCTTCCCCCCATCTCTTCCTTCCTTCATCCTCATGTGAGAATATTTTTTCCATTGATTTTTAGAGAGTGGAAGGGAGGGAGGGGGAGAGAGAGAGAGAAGAAAGCCTGGATGGGAGAGAGACCCATCCATCGGTTGCCTCCCGCACCTGCCCCGACCAAGGGCGGGGAGCAGACCTGCAACCCAGGTACGTGTGCTGGCCCAGGAGTCGAACCCGAGACCCTTCGGTGTGAGGGCCGACACTCTAACCACTGAGCCACACCGGCCAGGGCCATTTGTTTGGCATAAGAATTTGACCACAGCTGAGAAAGGGTCCCTGGGCTGGGCTCTGTGGCCTGGGTCTGTCACCCTGTGTGGCGCTGGGGGCTCCTCTCTCGCTGGGCCTCAGGGCGGGTGATGTGGTGTCCAGCCGCAAATGCTAGGAGCCTATAATCTCAGCTTTTGTCAAGGACAGGGTCAGCCGGTCATGGGGTCTCTGAGCTTTCTGGGTCCCAGTGACCTCTCGGGAAGGTGCTGCTCTGGGGCATAAATGACCAACAGTGGGTCTTGCTTCCCTAGAGCTGTGCTGCTTCTGGTCCGACTGGATCAACAACAATAAGCCGAACCCCAGCCCTGACGGTGGTGAACAAGAGTCCTTTGACAGCGTCTGCCAGGCGCCCCAGGACATTCAGTGCAGGTCGGCCATGGAGCCACATCTCAGCTGGGAGGAGCTGGGCCAGAAGGCACAGTGTGACATCTCGGTTGGGTTCATGTGCAAAAACGAAGACCAGTTTGGAAATGGACCTTTTGGAATCTGCTATGACTACGAGATACGTGTCAACTGTTGTCTGCCAATGGATGAGTGTCCAACTTCGACCCCGCCNTCCCCCCTCGCCCGCCTCCCTGCCTGAGGCTCCAAGCCTATTCCTCAGGCCCCGTGGCCCCGTCCGCCCTGAGCCTGACCCCTCCCTGCCCCCCCAGCCATATTCTGTGACTACTACAACCCTCCTGACGAGTGTGAGTGGCACTACGAGCCTTGCGGGAACCGCAGCTTCGAGACCTGCAGGACCATTAACGGAATCCACTCCAACATCTCCATGTCCTACCTGGAGGGTGAGCCTGGGCTGCCCCCCTGTGGTGCTGGGGGCCCTGAGTTCCAGGGTGGGCTGGGCTCTCCTCGCTGCAGAATTTGTTCATTGAACGGGGGGCTCGGAGCCGGAGCTAAGACCCGCCCTTGACGGGACAGGCAGGGAAGGGACAGGGTCACACCCAACCCGTAAGGTCAGGAGAAAAGAGCTGAGGAGCTGAACGGGCAGAGTAGGGTAGGGGCGTGTTTCCAAGGATGGGTCGGGGGGCCTTTGAGTTGAGAACCAGCAGACTGGAAGGGGTGAGAGATTCGCTGGGTCAGGGGTCAGATGGGTCACAGGCAGTGCTCCAGGCTCAGCTCGGGGGTGGATCTGGGCCCCCGACTTTCCAACCCTGGTCTTCCCAGAGGAACATCCCGGAGAGAAGGACCTGCCGTGGCGGGAACGATGGGTGGGGCCTAATGGACATGGTTCAAGCCCAGTGCCCTGTGTCCACTAGGCTGCTACCCCCGGTGCCCTGGGGACAAGCCCATCTATGACGAGGACCTGAAGAAGTGTGTCAAGGAAGACCAATGTGGCTGCTATGTGGAGGGCACCCCCTACCCACCTGGAAAGCCCGTTCCCCCCAAGGACGACTGCCATTCCTGGTACATAAGCTCACATCGCGGGGGGCCCGGGGGAGGTCACCCATGCACACCCGTGGGCGCACAGGCACAACACCCACACATGTGCACCAGGGCCCAGGCCCGGGACACCGGTCTCATCCTGGCCTCTCTGCCCATCCTTTGCCTGCCTTGCCGCACCCACACTCTGCCCACTGTTAGAGCTGGTGGGCGGGTCCCTTTGGGGCTATGCCCTGGGGCTCTGGGCTGCACTGGGCGGGACAGGCCGGTGCTCTCGAACCTGCAGCCTTGCACTTGCTTTGCAGCGAGTGCACCACCAACTCGTCAGTTGTCTGCTGGCCGGAGGAAGGTAAGCTGCCCTCTGTGGCCGCCCCCGAGAGCCTGCGGGCTGCCAGGCCCTGGACTCCTGGGGCTAGGCCTGG